AATAAATAAAATATTTTAAATAAAAAAACCACCAAATCAGCCATTTATAAAAGAATAACCAGATTAGATTAAGTTTATTCCAGTAAAGCAAAAGTAGTTAACATTTTTAAACGTACCATTTACCACATTTATAGAAAAAAGTTTTTCATGATCATCTCGCTAGAAATATTAGAAACTTTTGGTTAATTTCAATGTCGGTCTATGATCAAACCTTGGCAAACTAGGGAAGAAGGGCTCTTAATCATTAATGATTAGAAAAATTATTCTTGAAAAAAACACAGAAAGCATTATCTGTAATAGTGATGTATTGAAAATTTCCTCCTAGAGATAGGAAATCTGACAGTGATAACTGCTATCACCACTTCTATTCAACATTGTTCTGAGAGTTTTATCTAATGGAAAAGCAATAGAGAAAAGACATAAGGATTAGGAAGGAAGAACTTTAAATGCCATTTGTATATGACATGATTGTGGACATGGAAAATTCCAAAAGATCAAACTTAAAATTGAATTAATTAATTTGAATTTGAATTAATTAGTTGATTATGGTCACTAAATCTGAGTTCGATATAAAGACTTCATTTTCATGTACAACTAACCATTAGAAAATGAAGCCTAGAATATTGCCATTTGTAATACCTTTGAAAACACTGGATATATAGCAAAGAAAGACCCCCGAAGGAAGGATATACTGTATTCATGACTGGAAGACAATATTGAAAGAGGTCCCGTCCTCCAAGTCAATCCATATTGATAGTGAAAATCTCAGCCAGCTTTATTTTTGGAAATTAAGCTGATTATGTAATTTATGTGGAAATTTAAAGAGACAGAATAGCCAAGAAGAATGAGGCTGTGGTCTTGAATGCCTGATACCATGACCTATTAAAAAGCTGAGTAAGTATTACAATGCTGTATCGGTCAAAGGATTTACAGAGGAAAGTATCAAAATCAAGAGTCCAGAAAAGAATTTATTTTTTTGAAAAGATGACACTTGCTTAGAGGTGCTGGATTAATTAGATATGTGTATGGAACAAAAAATCTTGATCTCACACCACATGCAAAAATTACAGATTATAGAACTAAATGGAAAAGGTAAAAGCAAATAAAGCTATTAGTTTTATTTTTTAAAAAGATTTTACTTACTTATTCAGAGACACAGGCAGAGGGAGAAGCAGGCTCCATGCAGGGAGCCCGACGTGGGACTCCATCCCAGGTCTCCAAGATCACACCCCAGGCTGCAGGTGGCGCCAAACCGCTGCGCCACTGAGACCTCCCGAGCTACTAGTTTTAAAAATACAGGCTATCTTCATGACCTTAGACTATGCATACATTTGTTCAATGGGACACAAATGAACTGAGGAAAGAAATGAACTCTACTACATTAAAAATTTAAGAACTTTTCATCAGAAAATATTAAAAATGAAAGGGGGAGCAACAGAATGGAGGGTTTCTATAACAACAGCTCTAATGATCTCAAATACACAATACATAATCGACTACAAATCAGAAAAGTTCAACAAAAAAGAAGACTGGCAATCCCTAAAAGTATTAAAAGAGCCAATAAGAGCTATCTTAAAAGGGAATGTAAAGTGGGACAACCTTGGAAATTTTTCTTGGCACTATTTATTAAAGCTAAGCCTTTGACCAGCAATTTAATGCATTGGTTTATATCCAACAGTAATGTGTACGTTTGTTTACCAAGAGGTAGGTATTAGAATGTTTACAAAACTATCTGCTTTCTCCTCTCCCCGCTCTCTTCTCTCTCCACACACCCATCCATTCACCTACTATGCTCAGTCTAATTCTGTCATACTTTACATATGTATTTGTGTGCATCTCCAAAAACAGGGGTATCCTTTTTTATAACCACAGTACAATGATTGACTGAATTCAGGAAATTTAAGGTAATACAATATTTTGATTTAATATGCCATTCATTTGTTAATTCCACCAATGGTCCTAATACTGTCTTTTAAAGCATTATTTTTCCTGATCCCATAATCCAATCCAGGATCCTGCATTGCAGTCCGTTATTCTCTTTGATCTCCTTTCACATGGAAGAGTTCATTAGTCATTCTTTGGGTCTTATGACAGTGATACGTTTGAAGAGCTCAGGATTATGGAATGTCAATCAATGTGGATTTGTCTAAATTTTTCCTATACTTAGGTTATGCTTTTTTGGGCAAGAAAACCGCAGAAGTGATGTCGTGTTCTCTGCATATTAGGATGCACATATGTATATTTATCCCCTTATTGGTGATAATAGCTTCAATTATAATTGATTAATATACTATTCACTTTATTTCTCCACTACTATCATTCTCCTTTTGTAATTAATAAAGAATGTGTTGGGAGATTCTTTAATACCATAGATACTCTATCCCCCAATTTTTCACAATGTTTTGGTATCAATCAAGGATCCTTGCCTGAATTATAGAAATGGTTGCAAAATGATTTTTCTAACTTTTATTCCCAGCACTTTTACTAGTTAATATTTACTGTAAGAGCTTTCTTTTATCATTTAAGAATATGTATTATTGGTACGAACTAATGGGTTCTTTTTCTTTTTTATTCGAAGTGTTATGATCCATTTTTCTCCTATATTTAACCAGCGGGTGCCCTGTCAAATGGACTGCTGGCTGTACAATTCTTCATTTTCTTGAGTGCTTGCCTCCGATACAACAATGTTCCAGATTTTACCTGTACTTCCTGTAATCCAATCCTAGAATCAGCTATTTCTCCAAGTATACATATTTCTTTTCGAGGAGAATGATACTTGAAAATTGGAATGTTAGATGTACTTGTTGCTACTGGGGTGGCATTGCTTCTAGGGCCTTTGAGGAGACAGAAAGTAAATTCACACATCATGAATGCACACTAATACCTCTAGTTGCAATCTACCATTATTCTTCCTCGTCTTCCCTCCATGCTTGTATCTTTCTTCTCCTACAGTGAGGAATGAAAGATATCTGTATATTACTCATTTGCTTAATCTGACAATATAGATATTAGTCTAAAGACAAAAATCTGCAAAGGAATATTCTTTTTTATGAGAGTATGGGTGTAACAATTCTGAAACTGAGGATATTTAATCAAAGTACTATATTCAAGAGTTATGTTCATTTCTTTTTTCATCCGATGTGGTTAATCATTTGAAATAGAATTTGTCTATTACTTTTGTTTATATTCCATTTTTTGCCATCTGAGTTCTACTCATATTTTTTTTTATCAAAGCTCTGTTTTCAACTATAGATTTTCTTATCGTGGAGTTTTTAGGATAAAATTCTGTCACAAAGCAGGCATTTTCCTTTAAGGGAACTAGCTTTCTGACTTCCCCTTACTCAGAGAAGCGTTAATGTAGGCTCTCTGAGAAGATTTTCTAACTCCATCCTCAAATTCCAACAAATTGAAATTTGGAATAATCTGCATCAGTACTTCCATAAACTGTTATTGCCCAGAGTTGAATATGAGGAAATTTTTTTGAAGCCTTGGCCTAAATATTCCACCAATACCAGAAGCAACCCAACTTGCACTCTATAATTTTGTTGAATTAGAAACACAAGAAAAGTGGCATTGTGGAATATAACATTAAAATAGTAATATATAAACAAGAACAGAAAATATAGAAAATATTTTTTATTCTTGTGCATGACTTTGAATGTTGACATAGGTTTCACTGTGATAGAAGTGTACATCTTATATGAAATTCTATTTAGAAATATTGGTCATTAACTTGTAATTTAACAAATCTATTATGGAAACAAAAATGTACATCCTTCTTTAAGAAGATATTGGAACTTTCAGTTTGAAAGAGAATCATACATGAAAACAAAGATAATTCCTATAACAGTTTAATCTATACCTTATATTAAATCTAACAACTAACAATTATGAGTGTCTACTATCTTGAGGTGTTATAATTTGACATTAATTTCTGTAACATGAAAGTACTATATTATGTGCTTTCAGTGAATTCAGTAATTATTACCACACTTTTTATCCAGTTTGTTTTTAGCATTTTGTAAGACACATTAAATCCGAGAAAAAATAACAAGTAACAGATAAATGCCCACTAAACTTCTCTGTCATCATATTAAACAGCTTTTTTCACTTTGGCAAAATGAATATTGCCATTTTATGACTTTCAGATATTTCATAAAGTTTTTTAGAGCATTAAGAAAATTAAAATAACTCAAATCTGTTTCTAACTTACCAATGATTCTATCAGATTCTTCTACACTGAATATTCTACTTCATTGTAGAATTTTCTGTATTCCTACTTCATTGTATATTGACATAAATGTAAGCAGCATGGCACATTAAGGTTTTGAGAAAAAATAAACTTCTCCAAGAAGTCCTAGAAAGACAGATCATTCTGAATCTCTCACCTGTGCTTTACTTTCACAGTGAAGGTAAAAATGTAAACATACTGCCTTCTCTTTTAGCTTTAAAACACCAGCAATGTTTGTTTTTATGTAGTTTGTGAAAATCATACAAAAGGATGATTAACTCCTATTGGAAATCTTTTAAATTCCCAGCTCACTGAGAAATTTCAGCAATTCCAACATCTTACTTACTTTTTCTTTATGTGTTTATTTTATGTGATGCTTTGATAGAAATAATAGTATAAAGTCAAGCTTCTTAGAAAATGTTTAGTTTTGCCAAACTTAACAGTATCCTTTCCCTCAAAATGACATGCCTTAATATATTCTGCTAATGTTTACCTAGAGTTAGCATTTTCTTAGATTTAGTAATTGTTTATTTAAAGATCTATAATAATTTCTGCAATTAATAGCCAAATATTTTTGCCTAAAGGTTAAGTAGAATTTCAAATATTTATGCTATTAATTTTTATTTATTTATGATAGTCACACGAGAGAGAGAGAGAGGCAGAGACATGCTATTACTGTATACTAATAACATTCGACATGCCTTTTGATATGCTGTGTGAGTGCTTCCTCAAAATCTTCAAACTTCCTCAGAAATAGAGTGCCAGAAAGTCATTTATGTAAAAACTGTTTAATATTTACTAACTTATTACAGAGCAGTTTGTGTTTTAATTTTTACTACATTAGTGTTTAGCATTAAGACAACAGTGGGTCAAGTCAGGTGTTCGTGTTGAAGGTTCACTGGAGTAGAGTAATCACAACATGGTCATCTCGGCCTTGCCATAACATCTCTCCTTCGAAGTCAACCAGTCCATGCTTCCTGGCCCGCATGAGAATGCCCACTACTTTATCTGAAATACGAACATATCTGTCAAAGAGATCTCCAAAAGTGACCTGGATCTTGCCATCTCGCCTTTGGTGGGCCATTGTACGGATGATGAAGCACAGGTCCATGATCTCTCTGTAGATGTGCTCCTCGGCTCGCTTGGCCCTTTCTGCGGTTCTGGTTCCCTCCTTGGGACGGCCATAGCCTTCATCTCCTTTGTGCAGGCGGGTGGACATGGCCAGCTGATAATCGAATTCTTCACTGAAAGGATTGAGCTTCTGGGATTGTATGTGTTCATCGGCCCATTGTTGCCATCTCCCTTTCAGGTCATCCACTTGGCTATATTTCCGCTGGGCCTTGCAGCTGAGTTTCTCTGTAAATCTATTCGCCCTAAAAGGGAAAGAGGGTGAAGAATCAAGATACTGATATTTAACATCCAAGTGTTGCTTTCTCTTTGTACTGCACGTAGGCAACTTAATGTAAGTCTATTTTCTTCATTATTAACAAAATATAATCACAACATAATTCGAAATGAAAGAAGAAAAAGTATAACCGTCACACCATTCTTTATTTTTATTTGAGGATAGTTGACAACTACATTGTTCTGGTTTTGGTACACCATAAAAATATATTAAACTCTACTTCAAGAAAAAGCTTCTTTACACAAATATAATGTAATATGTATGTCTTAAAGTTGCAAGCTGATAACATTTTAGAATTGGAGTCATATAAATGCATTAAGGAAACTATTTTGTATGGGACTTCAGAAACCAGTTATTTCGAAAAATAAGACTTATTATACTAGCACATATACATTGCGTATTATTCACTTATGTATACATGGATATGTGTAAACCATATATGGATTTTGAATGAGAGCATATTTATACTAGTATCAATGATGTGCCTCAAATTTTGGAGTATCAAGTTGTATAGATGGAAGATGATTGCTAGCAATAATAACATTTATTGAATACTTTGTGCTGGTATTCTTCCAAATGCTTTTCATTAATATTTCTATAACCATTCTATGAGATAGGTGCAACTATTCTCACTTCCCAGATGAGGAAGCTGAGGGGGTGGTTAAGTAACTTGCTTAAAGTCACAAACCTGTTAAATGATAGTTGTGGAATTTGAACCAGGCCTGTGTGTAACTACTGTGAAATAATGTCCTAAACCAGGGGCAAAGGTAGTTTTAAACACCAGCTGTCTGAGGCTAAAGTCAATACTCTTCCCACTGTGCAGTGATGTCTGTCACTCATCATGCAGGTACAGTGTCCAATAAGTAGGTGAATTGTGTTTCAGATGTGTGTATGTGTCCTTGCAATTTGGACTGCATTTTCTTTTTTAAAAAAAACCAACCGCCTTGAACAATGTGGACCAGAAGTATCATGAAGGTACAGACCTAGTTTTAAAATCAGTAAAATTTATCTTTAAAAGATTTCTCTGTCTTTTCTATAGTTCCAATCTCCTCGACTCTTTTTCTCGAGTCTCTTTGCCTTCACAAGTAAAATATAATTCTTGGATTATCTAAAAATCACAGATTTGTATTCCTCATTGTTACAAGTGACCCATCCTTCCTCTCCCCAATACCAAGTGGCCTCATGTCTGGAAGCACTGAGATTGGAGATACCCTCACTTCAGTTGTTCACGTGAGCAGCAGGCCTGAGCTAAGTAGCCCTGCTATCCAAACTCTCACAATTTTTATTCAAAACCCAGTTACAGGTCAGATGTGGGTATTCTTCACTATCCAGGATCACTTCCTTCCTGAAATCTAGTTAGCCAATGCAGGAAACTCACAGACATGGATGGGGAGACACATATACTCATATTAGCATTTTCAAAAGAGGAATAACAGCCACTAGATGGCAGACTTTCACTAATTCCCATGTTTTGTGTGTTCAAAACTGCTTGCTTTCAGTTTCATTATTACAAGACAGCTCAAACTAGATATAGTTTAAACACTGATACATAGAACACTGATACGTACAGCACTTCTCTTCTTTGTAGCCACATAAACAAAAATATATGGCCAAGTTAAGTGGGAAAAGCACATAAGAAACTGTATGCACAGTTACTGCAATTTTCAAGTCACATATATATGGAAAAGTGCTAGGAATTTCACCACACTGAAACGGGATGGATTTCTCTCAGCCCTGCTGGTCCTCACTATCCCCTGCCTCTCCAGAGGCTGTCCCTGTTCAGCTTCCCAGATATAGGCTGTTTGATCTCATTATCAGATGATAGCAAACACCTTTTCCCCTTAGAACCATGGCAATACGTGACAGGCATAGTCTTGAATAGCAAACTCAAGGCCATCCTAGTGTAACCCAAAGCTCATACCAGATTTGAAGCAGGGACATCCTGCAAGAGAAGAGATTTGAAACATCTCAGAAGAAAGTGAAAAGAATAGTATAGTTTGTTGACTCATACTTGTATCTCCCAAGTGTGAATTGCAGTTCTGTCCTATATTATAAAATGTAATACAGTTGTCCACAATTATTCAGTTTCACTTACCTGTGGGCAACCATATTCAGGAAGTAAATGATCATCCTTCTAATGAGTCATCAGAAGGTCAGTACAAGAGTAGCCTAATGCCATTATCATGGTGCCTACATCATTCACCTCACTTCATTTCATCATGTAGGCATTTTTTTTCTTTTCTTTTCTTTTTAAAGAGAGAAAGAGCACACACAAACAGGTAGGGGCAGAGGGAGAGGAAGAGAGAGAATACCAAGTAGGTTCCATGCCCAGTGTGGAGATTGACGTGGGGCTCATTCTCACAACCCTGAGATCATGACCAGGGACAAAATCAAAAGTCAGACACTTACTTCACTGAGCCACTCAGGTGCCCCTCCTCATGGAGGTTTTTTATCATCTCACATCATTCCAAGAAGAAGAGTGAGTATAGAACAATAAGATATTTTGAGGGAGAGAGACCACATTCATATACTTTTATTATAGCACGTTATAATAATTCTATTCTATTATTATTGTGGTTAATTTCTTACTGTGTCTAATTTCTAAATTAAGCTTTTTCATAGATACATATATTAGGAAAAAGCATAATATATATAGGGTTTTTGTATTTCCTGCAGTTTTAAGCATTCACTGAAGGTCTTAGCACCCACAGATAAGGGGTGGGAGGCTACTGTAAATCTTCCCTTTAAGGAGCCCCTGCACATGTTGGCATACTTTCCATCTTTTATCAAAGTATTTATGACACTTAGCCTGTGTCAAATTGTTTAAGGTACTTATTGGATAGTCAATAATTTTTTTAAAAAAGTAAATAGACATTAAGAGATTCTTGAAAATAATCAGTAATACAAATGTGAATATATGGTAAAATTCTAACCATATAAAATGCATACACATTTAGGATGAAGAAATTGGTGGCATGTGCATGATTGAAAACAATTGTCATTATCCAGATGACAGTTGAATTTTTTCATTTTTTAAAAATTATCTTTTCTATTGATACCATATTGATTTTATAATTTAAAGCAAAAAAAAAAGGAAAATATTCAAATCAGCCTCCAAAGGAAATTTATTTAAACTGCATGTTATATGGCTCTCTGATTCCCTGATGTAGGGTTTTTTTCTTTCTAATTTGCATTAGGAACTTAGAGTCCCTGAGTTTTGAAATTCTATGTCATTAGGGATAGGGTTGAGGTTGGCGAGACAATAAATCTCTGAGGAGGTGAAGGATTTGTCCTCTAAAAAAGCACCTCCTAAATCTTAATGTCCATTTGTTATATCGTCAAATTGTAATTCCCAGTAATAGTAGAGAAGAAAAGCAAAGGAATGGGTCTAATAAGCAAGAATTAGAACATAGGTTATAAAAAATGAAGTACCAGGAGGAAATACACCTTAATGAGTGTCTCTATCTTATAAATGTTCTGTATTGTTTTTATAGTTTTTATATTTCTGATTTCTAAAAAGTCTGAAAGTTAATGTTTAAATCACGATTAGAAAATCTTATACCTTGAATATCTTCTTGGTCAATGAACATAAGAAACGATATACCAGTTTATCCTGTTTTTTTTTTTATCTTCAAGTAAAAATGTGAATAATAGCTTAGATTGAGATTTAGAAAAACAATCTAGCTTAAATTTGTAGAAAGCAAAGCCAAAGACTGGCATCACATCCATATTTTAGGATGGTAATATTTCATCTAAATTTGTCTTCTTAGTTTCTTCATTCTTAGTAAACAGAATTTCTTGTGGTGAATCAAATATTTCCCTTGTCCAATTATGTACAAAGTCACTAATTCTACCAAACATTGTAAGTGTTCTAATTGTAAAGTGTATATTCATTCATTGAGATAAATTCTGAAATTTATTTTTGGTCATCTTTTTAAAAAGGTTTTATTTATTTATTCATAAGAGACACAGAGAGAGGCAGAGACATAGGCAGGGGGAGAAGCAGGTTCCCTGTGGGGAGCCTGATGTGGAACTCGATCCCAGGACCCAGGTGCCACCCAGGTGCCCCCTTTTTTTTTGTCATCTTTAAAAATGGCATCAGTTTGAGTGTTGCTTTCTCATGTGAATATGGGCTTTTCAGCAATGTATTGAGAATATAGGAACTAACTGTATCACAGTTTTATCATTTTGGAGTAATAATTATGTGGATAAATTGTTAAAAATTAATAAACCCAACAGGAAATAAAAGCTCTGAAAGGTATATTTCAAACTTAGCCAAGTTCACTGGCATTGGAAAAGCTCTGGTAGATGGCCTTCACCTGCATCACCAAACAATGCTTCAAAATGTCATGGGGCCCAGAGGTGAAATTTTCTGGTCTAAGTCTTAGATCTGCATGAAGAAAGCAGAAAGCCACTTTTGTGGCCCCACCCCATAGACTCTCCTGTGGACGGAGTATTTCTCCTCTTCACCTGGGAACATCTCTCTGTCAGTAGAGCAAATAATTTCTGCCACCCTTTCCAATTTCCCAGGGAGGTGCTGGGGAGAATTTGCTCCTCTGTGCATTGGTTTGCTTTCTCCTCTCCACAGGAAGGATAACCAATTTGACTAATTGGAAGCATGCCATTCAGAGGGTCACATTTATCTCTGCCTGTTATCAATCAGGTTTGAGAGCCAGGCCTGTGACTCTGCTTGCAGATTGGTCACTGTCCTCAGAGTCCATAGAAAGGGTCCCACGCTCTAGAATTGGGGTCAAATAGCAAAAAGCCATACTTTGGCCTCCATTTCTAGCAAAGTCCTTCAATACAGTTGTACTCAGACCTTACACTTTGGGTGTTACTAGATTCTGTTAATGAAGCTGACACTTTGATCTCCATTTTGGTTTTTTGAGTCTGTTTTCTACTGAGAGAATCAGCCTAGCATAGTGGTTAAGAACTCTGTCATCAGCCTTCCCAACTTCATCACTTACTAACTCTACGACTTGGATACATTTCTTAATGTCCCTGTGAGTCAATTCCCTTCTCTATAGAATAGCATTCTTATTCTCAGCTATTATTATTTTTGCTGAATATAACTTGGAGGAGAGGATGAATAGATGATTGGCACTTTAATATTATACCATTAATGTACAGGTGAAGGATGCAGTTTCTTTTGTCTAAAGGAGCTGGAGTGAACAAGTCATGTAGCTATACAATCAAAACACTCAATATTTTTAAAATAAAGCATAAAATAAAACCAATTTCATAGTAAAACCTAGTTAGCAAAACTGTTAGTAAAGAATATCTCTACTTTTTACCAAACCTAACTTGTTTGATTTCGTTATCCATGGAAATTCTTAACCACCCAAAAAACTTTCTTTTTACTTAAACATTCATGATACATAATTTTCTCCCTATTGGTAGACATGGGTAAAGAATAAAAATAAATGAACAAATCCTCCTTTCATATAGGCTTACTCAATAATGCCATGCTCATTTCTCAAGCAGTACTTGAGAGTCTCATCAGGCTTCTGCTGAAGCTTCCTGAGCACAGCTAGGATTACCACTGACATTAAGAGATGCTGTTCCTGCACACGACATTCTGGTACCTTGTGTACTCTATGACCAAGAAATGAACCAAAGAAGGAAAGAAGAGATTTAATCCCACCCCTGCACCCCAACCCTGAGGATCAGTCTCCTAGCAGCCTGTAGGGTTGGGATCACCAGGAATGGACCCTTGCATTATAATGCCTAGAGCTTATTAAGGAGCTCCTCTGGGTCCATTGCTTTGCATAATTAATATCAAAATAACTCTGTGGGTTACATCTATTTTTTAGATGAGGACAAAGACATAATTTGCCAAAGTAACCATGATTCAAACCTAACTGTCTCTCATTCAAAGCTTATGCACCCCTCCATCACACTAAGAAGGTGCCCACGTACATGCCTGATTTTAGGAACCTGAGAAGGGTCCTGTATGTGCACCCTCACTTCCAGCTGAAACAGTTGAGAGTGTGGTGAAGAGAGTGAAATCAAGAGCAACATTGCCTGGTTCAAATCCCATAGGCTTTACAATCCTATACAAATTTTCTACTATATCTTTGTCTTATGTCCCCATCTGTCAAATGTGAATATTAATTATACCTACCCATGACAATACTGTGAGGATTAAATGAATGAATATATGAATAAACATTGACCCCAGCTGTCCCCTTCCTACCTCTAGCCAATCCAAAGTACGCTGACAGATCTTCACTGTAACATCCTCAATCTTTATTCTGCTGGGTTCTATTCTTCCATTTCTAGCAAACGCACACCCGCACACACACATGCACACCCAAAATCCACAAGGCCTGATTTGGTTCCATATTTCCTGGTAGGATAATTATTTCTGATGATGAATTTCTGTATTAATAGAAGTAGAGCACAAATCCAAATCTCTCAACATATCTTCAAAGCACTGCAGGGAGAGGTAGCACCAAGTCTGATTTCTAAACATTGCATTTGGAGACAGGCACATCTCAGCTTTGTCACTAACTTACTGGGTAAACTTGCCCTCAGAGCTTTAGTGCCCTCATGCCTAAAATGGGATAATAATACCTGCTTCATAGGATCATGAGACTTAAAAGGACAGAACATGTAAAATGCCCATGGCAAGCACTAAATGCATGAAAGTTGTTATAATTATCTACATTTGCCGTTTCAGTTTTCTTGAAAGTGTGGGATGTCATAGTTCGAATTCTTTCAAAACACCCTTAAAGTCACAAACTGTGACATCTTTTTGTCAAATTGGGTCCTCAGTTTTGTTCTTTACTTTGTTTCATAAAGTTTAAAAACATACCTGTACATCTAATATTCGCAAAGGGAGTCAGTTTGTAAGCATTCATCATATCAGAGACTTTTCACATATTTTGATAGTCTATGGTCGTGAAGTGAAATAGCCTGGCTTTCTATTATGTGGAGGTGGAGTCACTGTCTTAAAGTATGTACTTTTTTTGTCTGAATAAGTGTATCAATTTGACTCAGTGTTTGCGTGCATGTGTGTGTGTGCGTGTGTGTGTGTGTGTAGGTGTATGTATCTGACATCTAAAAGTTTTAGGGTTGTGGTATTTTAATGACTTAGCTTTAATAGCATCTCTGTCTTTGTTTAACAACAGAACAAACTCTTTCTGAAAGTGTGAAAAATTGCCAAATAATAGACTCTATACGAATAATAATAGGTTTTATACATGGAGCATATGTAGCAGGTAGTGTGCTAAATTCTTGGAAGCCTTAATCTCAGTTACTTCTCCCAATACAACAGAATTCATCCCAAAAGGTCACTGCTGCTATCATTTTACAAAGGAGGAAATGGGCTTAGAAAAATAACCTCTGTGACGGGGGGTCAGGAGGTGAGAACATTTAAGATCGACTCTCTTAGCCACTTTCAAGTATGTAATACAGTATTATCAACTATTGTTGGGGGAGAGCTGGAATTTGAACTTGGGTCTGTCTAACATCAGAGGCTACTCTCAAAATGGATAGCAGCCTCCCACCTGTTTACAGGGTCATAGAGACGTGTGTCCCACATGCACTATGTGGGTAGATGTGTCTCCTGATAATACTATGGACTGATTTGAGACAAGGGAAACGTTTGCCCAGTCCTAGTCTACCAGCACTAGTCTACACTTCTTTTTGACCCCAGCTGTCCCCTTCCTACCTCTAGCTAATCCAAAGTACGCTGACAGAAGATCTTCACTGTGACATCTAGTCTTATTTTTCTAAGCCCATTTCCTCCTTTGTAAAATGATAGCAACAGTAACCTTTTGGGATAAATTCTGTTGTATTGGGAGAAGTAATTGAGATTAAGGCTTCCAAGAATTTAGCACACTACCTGCCACATATGCTCCATGTATAAAAGCTATTATTATTCATATAGAGTGCATCATATGTGCATCCTAGTCTGCACTATTTCTGCAGAGAAATAAGCCAATTTGTTACTCATCACGAAATTTATTTTAAAAATGTACCCAACACAGACATCCTTCTCTGGGGGCTTCACCTTTGTTGAGGCTAAAACTTGAGTGTTTGGTTCAAAACATTAAAGAAACAAAAGAGTTCAGGCTCTTGACCCAGAAGTCCGTGTCTAGCTCGGCACTGCTCCTTTAGCTCAGGAGCATGACTTCCCTACAGGACCTTGCGGCCTGCCCAATGTTTAAGATTTTCACTCTACCATTGGTAGCATTTCCCTGCCCCAAGCCCCACAGCTGGTTGGGGCTCAAAGGCAGTATAAGGAGCTGGAGGGGGGCGTTCACTTACTGGGAAGGCAAGGGGCGTTTGATTCTGGTGGCGACCACCTGCTCTCCATCCTGCTCGGGCCTCTCCTCAGTCTCCCCTCCGTAGCCACTGTCCTCTGTGTCTATGCTGTCACTCCTCCACTTGGGCTCATCCTGTTCCATCTCTTTCCAGCCTTTGGTCAGCTCAGATACCAGGTTGGCACATTTTCTCCTCCGTGTCGGGGAGCCATGGCTTTGGAGCATTCTGTCAATGTCATTTTCTGGCTGCCCAGCTCCAAGCATGTCGCCATCCTCGTATCTATGGCTCAGATGGCTCACATCACCTCCTCTCTCATAAGCTTTGCTGACAACTGTCTTGGTCACCTCTTTCCTTTTGATATGAGAGACTTCAGTGGCTTCCTCAGAGCTTTGTCCATCTCCATGGCCCTCTGGCTTTTGGGAGGGAGACTTCAGGGTGCTCTGAGCTTTCTGCTGGGGTGTGGGGTAGATCACTGGCTTCGGAGCTTGCAGTGGGTCTTGGGCTCCTCCCGGCTGCCAACCTGCAGGCTCTTGGGCCTGCCTGGTGCTGTTCTCATTTGCCCACTGCTGCCAGCCTCGGGCCAAGTTGATAACCAGGGTGGCTGTGCGTACCTTCCGGAGGGCACACTTGGCTGGGCCCTCTTCTCTTGCCTTTTCTTCCGGAGCCATGCCTTCTCCTCTCTGCTGGGAGCCTGGGAGTATGGACCATGGAGTGCCGAGATTTAAATAGAAGCAGTGTGTGTGTGTGTGTGTGTGTGTGTGTGTGTGTGGTGGGGGGAGAGTTTGGTGATAGTGGAAACTATGTTAAACATTTCTTGCCAAGACGTGGTGCCTTCCCCGATGGTGTGCTTTTTTTAAACACTGACATCTCCAGTTTCATCACAGCAGAGGGACATCTCTGCTGGGAAAGGACAGTGATATGCACTCCCTTTCTTCTCAAGTGCCAGAGTGGAAACTACTAGATTTGATCATGTGCTCAGCCTTATGTTCTTCGTGACCTTAAAATATGGTCCTACCATTTATAGCATAAAATATGTGCACAAATTGTGCTAGGAATATTATAGGCTTGTTCTCATTTAAATCTCAATATAGTTCTTAATTAGTCCCATTTTATAGCAGAGTACAATGAAATCTAACTTCCTACGGCTAATAATATCTGCAATTCAAACTCACATCTGTCTGATTCAAAACTTGTGCTTTTTATTCTAGCTATCAAAGACCCTGAAGTCCCTTTTTCTTTTGTCTTCACCCCTATTCGATACCTCCTTAGAATCACCTCCTCCAACCTTCATTTTCCATATGGAAAAACTGAGGCCCAAATAAGGAGTAGACGAAGGCCAGGTTTTTCAGTCCCAATCTTGAATTGTATAGACAGGTCATATTGATAGAAAGATGAGGATCAAAATTTTGGTCCAATTTTAAATCTTTAAATTAAGACCTACACACATGTTGAATTTCATAGATTATTACTAAGATCTTTTCAAATATTTTGAAAAAATATTTTGTTTTTTGTTTTTTCTAAAGAGCATTTAAAGACAAAATGAGTAAATGCTATCGGAAGTAATCCTCACCTGACCTTTTGTTTTTAATTACACATTCTTCTTTCACAGGCCTTTAGGTAGATGCAGAAAAAGCCATTCAATTTTCAGAACAAAGGTTGTTTTGTTAAAAACAAATATAGTGGGGATCCCTGGGTGGCGCAGCGGTTTGGCGCCTGCCTTTGGCCCAGGGCGCGATCCTGGAGACCCGGGATCGAGTCCCACGTCGGGCTCCCAGTGCATGGAGTCTGCTTCTCCCTCTGCTTCTCCCTCTGCCTGTGTCTCTGCCTCTCTCTCTCTCTGACTATCATAAATAAATAAAAATTAAAAAAAAAACAAATATAGTTTTTAAAAAGGACAAAAAAAATAAAAATAAAAATAAAAATAAAAAGGACTGGCTAGATAGGTTATTTGGAGATAAAATGAACCATATATGAAGAGTGCTAACCAAATAAAAAGGCTCAGGACTCAGAACTGAATAATTTCTTAAAGTAAGACAAAGATATTTTTTTTCACACAACAGTTCTTTTTTTTATAAATTTATTTTTTATTGGTGTTCAATTGCCAACATATAGAATAACACCCGGTGCTCATCCCGTCAAGTGCCCCCCTCAGTGCCCATCACCCAGTCACCCCCACCCCCCACCGGCCTCCCCTTCCACTACCCCTAGTTCGTTTCCCAGAGTTACGAGTCTCTCATGTTCTATATCCATTTCTGATATTTCCCACTCATTTTTTCTCCTTGCCCCTTTATTCCCTTTCACGATTTTTTATATTCCCCAAATGAATGAGACCATATAATGTTTGTCCTTCTCCGATTGACTTATTTCACTCAGCATAATACCCTCCAGTTCCATCCACATTGAAGCAAATGGTGGGTATTTGTCATTTCTAATGGCTGAGTAATATTCCATTGTATACATAGACCACAGCTTCTTTATCCACTCATCTTTCGATGGACACCGAGGCTCCTTCCACAATTTGGCTATTGTGGACATTGCTGCTAGAAACATCGGGGTGCAGGTGTCCCGGCGTTTCATTGAATGTGTATCTTTGGGGTAAATCCCCAACAGTGCAATTGCTGGTCATAGGGCAGGTCTATTTTTAACTCTTTGAGGAACCTCCACACAGTTTTCCAGAGTGGCTGCACCAGTTCACATTCCCACCAACAGTGCAGGAGGGTTCCCCTTTCTCCGCATCCTATCCAACATTTGTGGTTTCCTGCCTTGTTAATTTTCCCCATTCTCACTGGTGTGAGGTGGTATCTCATTGTGGTTTTGATTTGTATTTCCCTGATGGCCAGTGATGCGGAGCATTTTCTTATGTGCTTGTTGGCCATGTCCATGTCTTCCTCTGTGAGATTTCTGTTCATGTCTTTTGCCCATTTCATGATTGGATTGTTTGTTTCTTTGGTGTTGAGTTGAATAAGTTCTTTATAGATCTTGGAAACTAGCCCTTTATCTGATATGTCATTTGCAAATATCTTCTCCCATTCTGTAGGTTGTCTTTGAGTTTTGTTGACTGTATCCTTTGTTGTGCAAAAGCTTCTTATCTTGATGAAGTCTCAATAGTTCATTTTTGCTTTTGTTTCTTTTGCCTTCGTGGATGTATCTTGCAAGAAGTTACTGTGGCCGAGTTCAAAAAGGGTGTTGCCTGTGTTCTCCTCTAGGATTTTGATGGAATCTTATCTCACATTTAGATCTTTCATCCATTTAGAGTTTATTTTTGTGTATGGTGCAAGAGAGTGGTCTAGTTTCATTCTTCTGCATGTGGATGTCCAATTTTCCCAGCACCATTTATTGAAGAGACTGACTTTTTTCTAGTGGATAGTCTTTCCTCCTTTATTGAATATTAGTTGACCATAAAGTTGAGAGTCCTCTTCTGGATTCTCTATTCTTTTCCAGTGATCTATGTGTGTGTTTTTGTCACACAACAGTTCTATAGAGTTTAGAACTGTATCCTTTCCTCTAAACAATATTTATTTTATTTTGTTTATTTATTCATGAGAAACACACACTCACAGAGGCAGAGGGAGAAGGAGGCTCCTCACCGGGAGCCTGATGCGGGACCCTATCCCAGGACCTCAGGATCACCACCTGAGCCAAAGGGAGACAGACGCTCAACCACTGAGCCACTCAGGTGCCCCACCTCTAATCAATATTGATTGAGAGCTACTAAGAGCTTCAAAAAAAAATGGCGTGAAAGCTCAGTTAATTCTGATGAGGAGACAAATTTATTTAAAAAAATATGTTGATGTCAATTTTTCATCATGTAGGTCATTTACCTCTTAGATTAAGGCAGTTTTGGAGATGATTTAATGCTCTGTCTAAAATTTGTCAGATGTGTACTCAAGAGTTCAACAGCATCTGATAATGTTAACTGAAACAAAATCTGTCTTAAGGGGAAATTGGATCACCAGGAAAGAAAACTATTACAAATAAAGATTTAAATCTGAGTCTGAAATTTCTGACATACTTTCTTAAGAATGTAGATATACTGCAGACTGTTTGGTTCCTCTTAGATTCCCTTCATCCCACATGGAATGCCTTGGAAGGAATGGGGTTCTTTAGCAGTGCCCATGAGCTTAGCCCAGGATCAAACTAATTTACAATCATTCAAGGGATTTTTCTGCCTTCCTGTGCACACCTGCTCCACATTCAATTCCGAAAGAGGGAGATGAAGTGAAGACAGCAAGTTATTATTGGTGTTTCAATATTAACAGCATTGCAGTCACTGCCTGGGGCTCGGGGCTGTCAGCAGATGGTCCTGGAAAAAAAAAAAAAAAAAAACTCAGGCAGCTCCTAACAGAATCTGGTCATTCCTTCTGACATTTCACTTCCATGGCAACTGTGGTTCCTCATTCCTGCTTCTCCAGAAGAGACTTTAAAATTTGTTTCCTCTTTATGTCTCCTTCAGGCATTCCTTCTCTAAACCAAGATCTATATGTATTTTAAAAGAAGTGTTCTATCTTCTTTCTCAACCTATATCTGGATTCTTAAGAGTTCAGTATTCTTCTGTTTTAATAGAAGGTGGAAAAGCAATGAAAATGGAGTCTCAATGATAAAGATAGAGGGAAATAGTTTACAACATGAGTTTCTTATGAAAACATGATATTAGAAATTGTAGGCGAAGGTGCAAAGCTGATTAATGAAGTAATTACCACCTATGAAATTTGTCATGAGTGTGAAAGTGTGTTGAAAAAAATATTAGTTTTTACTTGATTGATATAGGCAATACTTGGGAGGAGGGGAAGGGGTTGTATCTATAGAATTCTTTGCATAATGCACTGAGAAGTCAAGTAGGACCAATATTCATCATCAGCTATATACTCTTCCTAAAAATACTTCAGGAATCTCTATGTGTGTGTGTGTCATGAATAATCAAATAAAATCTTTTAAAAAAATAAAAATAAATTTTTAAAAAAGGGCAGCCCGGGTGGCTCAGCAGTTTAGCACTGCCTTCAGCCCAGGGTGTGATCCTGGAGACCTGGGATCGAGTCCCACGTAGGGCTCCCTGCATGGAGCCTGCTTCTCCCTCTGCCTGTGTCTCTGACTCTCTCTCTTTCTCTATGTGTCTCTCATGAGTAAATAGATAAAATCTTTTTAAAAATTTTTTAAAAATTAAAAAACAGTACTTCAGAAATCTACATTTTCTCAAAGCTCATATGAAACAATTATTCTATTGATCCTTTCTACATAAACTAATAATTCTTTTACTAGCTCAGTTTCACAAAGTGGGAATAAAAATACTTTAATAAAGAACGAAAAGAATTTCTGATTTCAATTGAATTTACTCAGTGCTCATGGAGTGTACACAGTGGGTGAAGCATGATGGTAGGCAACATGAGACAGGGTAGAAAACTGATCAAAACAGAACTTACTTTCAAGGTTTTCTCAGTCTAGCCAGGAGAAGACACACACAACTCTTTTGATAGTTTGGGGAGAGCTACGATAGAAACACAAATAAAGCTTAATGGGATCCTTGAGCACAGCATGTCTGATTTTATTGGAAGGACTTCACAAAAATTTGGTGATCCTTTCTCTGGCTTTTCAAAGATAAAGAGAACCTTAGCAGGTGGAAAACGGGTACTCTGATCCGTAGAAACAACATGAACAGAGTTACTGAGGAATAAGA